ATAAAATTATTATTCCCGGTAAAAAATTTTTCATGCATTAATATGTATAATTATTTATTAATGATATATACAGGGTATCTGAAATAACAACTTATATGTTACTTCTAATTAAAAAACGAGTCAAAAAGTTCTCTATCATTAATTTTTGCAATATTTTTTTTTAATCACCCAATGAGCAAAATATCTAAAATCGTATAAGACTTTAACAGTGTTTTTTGTCAAATATCTTGAAGATGTTTCTTAAAGAACTCTCAAAGATATCTTAAAATTGTCTTATACGTCAATTTTATACGTCAATTTTATTATTCATTTATTTGGCAATCTTTAGAAATTAATATTTTGTTAACTATCGCGAAAATTGCAAAATAGAAATTGCAAATAGAAAAACTTTTTGACTCAGTTTTTTATTAAGAATAATACTGTATGATTAATGGATATTAATTCAGATACACCCAGTATAAACATACATAAATATTCATACATGCATAATCATATATAAAATAAATCCATTACATTAAACATATTTTATACATCTACTTTTTTCTTTCGTAAAATTATTTTTTAATGTAATAAGAATAATAATAGTAATATGAAAACATTAAAAATAATTAAAAGGATAATTTTCACACTTTGTTTTAGAAAAAAATCAAGTTTGAAAAAATATAAAAAAATTATTTGTATAATTATATATAAAATTATGCATTTTGTATTAGAAATTTTTTTACATTTTTCTAAATTTGTTTTTTTTTAAACGAACAATGCGAAAATTATCTCTTTAATTACTTTTTATGTTTTCATATTACTATTATTATTTCTTTACACTAATAAGTAATTTTACAAAAGAGGTATGAAGATGGACATATCATATACACATGTTTATGAAGTTATATTTATGTATATATATTTATATATATTCATGTATAAACAATTTTTTATTGAATTAAATTATTTCTCATATTTTTATTAAAAAAAATAAATTTTGTACGAACGAATTTACTTTAAATTTGTGTATATTATTATATGTAAAACTTATAGAGGGAAAGAAATAAAGGAGAGGAATGCAAAAACAGTAAAAAAATTTTAATAATCATGATCAAGTTTAAATCTGTCAATACCTTAGCTTTTAATAATTGTTTTTTAACTAAATGGAATTTAATTAGCAAACAAAAACACATTTATTGCAAACAAAAAAATTAAATCTTTACAATATTTATTTAAAAAATATATATATTTTATTGCCTTCAGTCATTTTGCTACAGTCATTTTAAATCAAAATGAGAACAAAATGGCACTGAATTTTCTGAACACAGTCGTTTATTGATCATTTTGCGTCTGGCAAGTAGTAAATAGTCATTTAAAGACGTAGTATGAATTGATCAATCTGACATGTAAAATTGATCACGGCAACAATGCTTACTAGAGAAAGCGATGCTAAACGAGAAAAACAAATCTTGGCGGTCGTTCTAGAGAGTCTCGAAGGGAGAGAGTGGCAACTGCATCACATGACCCGTCTCTTCTGATTGGATGCGGTCATTCACGTGATACAATTTGCCAGTCTTTCCCTTTGAGCTTTCTAGATCATTCTGTCTCTTTTAAACTGATATTCATATATAATCGATTTTTAAGGTGCCTTTTCATACTCAACGCTCACTTTTAGCGTCAAAACGGATCACATGCATCTTAAAGGATCAGGAGACACGTGTTTCGGCGCTAAGCATCATTTATACTGGCCGTAATCTGTACGAATCATAGTCGATTATTCTCCTCTCATTCGATTATGATTGGTCAATTCTTACAGATTACAGCCAGTATAAATAATCTGTAATTAAGATATTATTTAAGACATGTTAATAAGATTAGACTATGAATACACATTCTGATCTTATTTCTCTTTCTTCAATCGAAGAGAGAAAGAATGAAGAGAGAACGAATATAAAGTTTCAAATATCTCTATACATCTCTCCCAACACTTGTGTCCGTTCTCAACTTACGTTACGTCCGTGACTGAAGCGGTTTCCATCGCACGATTGGCTGTGTTTTCTGAACGCATTCCCAGTCTCCGTGCTGTCTGTCACCTGACATACTACGCATCGTGTTCACACCAAAGGTGGGGGCGGCCTGGCCTAGCGCAGTGAACACAAGCAAAGAAAGCATAGCAGTTACTACTTACTTGCGATCAGTGGTTCTCGTAGCAATTCCACGAACCCCACAGTCGACGGTGAATCGCAGCCGGACAGTGGACTTCAAATATTGTTGCCAAGACGACTTCTTTAGTTCCAATCTACCTGTCACAAGCACAACGATCGATACACCGATCTCGCGGCCACGCTCCAACTATGCGCCTGTTCCGGCCAATGTTTATGATCGTCGTTCGCGTCGGCTGACAGCTGTCAATCCCTTGTTCGGGTCATCAGTGAGTCATCGGATCGGCAGCCGAGGATCATCTCAGGTGATCTCTCGATTATCTCGTTTCCGATTATTACGGATTTCACTACCTGCGCATCTTCCTTTTCTTTTTATTTTTTTTTTCTTTCTCTTTTTGTATTTTTTCGTTTCTCTCCTCATAATTTCGTTTTTCAAAAATACTGTCCTCTCGACTTCTCCTCCTCTCCCTTTTTCTCAGACGAGAGTCCCACGAGACAGTAGCATAGATCGAGTGCTATTAAACTTCACGGACACCCGCACGGGACGAGACCAAGCCTTCCCGCAGATATCGCGCACGTCACAACCTACCCTTTGTTCAGATGTCCAGGTATTTTTTGTAAGGACTCATTTTTTTTCTTCTTTGCACGACACGCACATTTTTACGGCGGGTAGTGCTGCTTATGTCCCGTGAGCACGCGATGAATATGCGTTACAAGCTGGAGTCTTGTATTGCAGCGATATTACCGGCATGGCGTCTAGTTCCGTCAGCCAGGAAGACTTCGACAACGATTTTGAGTTGACATCCAGGAGATCCAGGATCAGGACTGCTAGGGCCAGGGTGGGTCCGGCGAGGACAGGAGATGTGTCTTCCATAAGTTTTCAAAGTACGTGTTGATGATCGTGGAAGTGTCTACGAACATGCGATTTAAGATTTTTGTTAATCTACTTGTTTAAATTTGAACAAATTTTAAACATATATATAATGCATGATAAATAATAAATCTAAATTTAATAAACGTTTTTATTTGATTTAAATATATATCAATTTTAAAGGTACTAGAGGGTTTGTGGGTTATCGTGGCGTGATCCATTGCTAATTCAATTAGCAATGGATCACGACATCGCGATAACTCGCAAGCCCTCTGGCATCTTTGAAATAAATACTTGTGGAAGCCTCAAAAGTATATATATATGTGTGTGTGTGTGTGTGTGTGTGTGTGTGTGTGTGTGTGTGTGTGTGTGTGTGTGTGTGCGTGCGTGTGCGTGTGCGTGTGTGTGCGCGTGTGTGTGTGTGTGTGCGCGCGCGCGCGTGTGTGTGAATTTTTGTAAATTTTTAAATTATGTATTTAAAAATTAAATATAAAAATCTATTCTTAATGCATATTTAATACTAGAAAATATATTCAAATTTTATTTCGTAATAGCATGAAATAATAATTAAACAGCTGTTTTTATTGGAACAATTATTAATACTAATTATTATTACTATTATTAATACTAATAACTTTTGAATCATTCTATTAGGTGTGGGAAAAAGTTCGTGGCGTTTTTTTAATGCCATGTAATGGGAAAAAACGCCATGAACTTTTTCCCACACCTAATATATATAAATAATATGAAGTAAATACTTAATAATGATTTGACTCAATAGAAAAACGATTCAAGAAATCACGCGTAATCAGATTTATAATTTTATCAATCTAATTGTTTTCGGTGCCTTTTACAGAGAATACACCCGATGTGGAAGAATCACAAGGCGCTTACGACACCAACCCTGTGCTTCCGCCTGAACATGAAAACCCACAGAGTAAACCCATAATAAGGAAACAGGATAAACGTGTGACTGGCCGGTATGTTAATCGCGATTACAAATGCGCTTACAAAACTGATAGAAAACCAACAGAAACTTATTGTCGCGCTTGGAGTGTCCATTAGCTAACAGCATCTTTGATGCACGGAACTTTACGTAATTGCCTAATATACTTTCTGGATCTGGTTCTAGTGTCTTTAGTGTCGTATCCTGTTTGCACAGGCCAACGCATATAAACAAGGGAAAGCAGCAACGTGATCGACGGAAACTGCGAGAAAAACGGCGTAGCACAGGAGTCGTACATTTACCGTCGACAGAGGTTCGCCATTGTTATCGTCAATCAACCCATAAGTAACCAATCAAATTATAATGGGAATTATAATAATAGTGTTTCTAGAGAGATTTGAAAAAATTTTTTAATTCTATTTGGTCTTCAAAATTATTGAGTTTTTATATTGAGCTGCGGATTTGTGAATTATTGAACTTCTGGATACTGGATTGAAATCTTGCATCTTACAATCTTATATTTTTAATTTTTTGAAGTTTGAGATTTTTTTCAGTTATTAAATTTTTATACAGATACACACACATACACAATTTTATTCTTTTATATCTAGAATTAAATTCTAGATTTTTAGCATTTTAGCTAAAATCTTTGATAATTAAATCGAAAATTGCCTTTTTTTGCTTACCAAGCTTTTAGAGAGAAATTAATCTCATGTATTAGTAAAAAGTCCGTAGATGAAAGCAAATTATCTTTAAATCATGATAAAAAGTCTTAATAAAACAACCGTTAAGTTATGATAACTTTTTGTAATTACAATTATAAAAATGTTAATTTAAATAGGTTAAAATTTTTCATGAATTATAATAATAAGTTTAGCATCATTATTACTTATGGGATAGCTCATTATATGCTCATTATAGCTCATGATATAGCTCATTATTTTTGAATATTTAAATGTTGTAAAAATATCTCGGACATTTGGTAAAACGCATAATTTCTCAGAGCACTGGAGGTAGTACGGGGGAAGACGAGGAAGAGCTTAGCGGCACTTGCCTTGAAACTAAGCACAACACGCATCACAATGAATTTCTTGATCACGAATTGATAGAAGTAAGTGTAGTCAATTCCATTTTTTACTTTTTATGCAGAATGTTCCGACAAATGCGCACATTGGAAAAAATTCGTATGAGAAGACCGAAATTAGTTTACACACAGTTTATGCTGTACATTTCTTTGTGTTCGAAAGTTGAGAGAAAAAGGGAAATTTAAGTTTTATATTTTATATTCTTCCTACGCATACATATCTATATCTATAATTACAAATAGACAATGTACCAGAGGAAATTAATTTATTATTAAAAATTATTATTTGTGTATTGTAGTTACAATCTAAAAGTCATTACTGTCAAAAAATCAATTTCCGGCTCTCGAAATAATTCAGTTACAACTAAACTTGTATAACAGAAGTTTCAATGAAACGCGAACTTTTAAATATACTTCCGAATAATGACTTTTTTCTTGAAACTAACGATATATATAATGATATATGGTAAATAAAAAAAAATATAAAAGCAGCAGCAAGCTAGAATTTTTATTAGGATTTCTTACGAAGTCGTTGATATTTTAAAGTTACTTATAAACATGTATTTTGCAGGAGCGGAATGCCAGAATATACACACAAAGGCGAAATAAAAGGTATCTCAGATTCATATGTTAATTAATGATAATTGGGAAATCAGTATAGTGCAATAATTATCTTTAACTGCCTTTTTTAATGAATCATAACTGATTTCTAGGCACTACCGTACTTTATACAGGTCATGTATAGTTAGGTACAGTTGGTAAGTGCGTTACGTCGTATCGGAAGAACCATGATTAGGCACGACCTGTACGAAGTACGATAGAGCTAATAGAATTGATTAATCAACTAACAAATTACTTAATCCAATACATTTTCCGAAACCTACGTACATTCCTAAATGCATTCCCAACTGATAATGTTCCAAATATATACTGACATTAACATAAAACAGTAATCGTAACACAATGAAGTAATTCAAAAATGAAATTTAAATGTAAAAGACTTGTTGCAATACAAAGGTTATAATGCACGAAGTAATTGATCTTAAATGTATTTAAAATAAAAAAGGTTGAGAAGTCTAATTTTTTTTTATTAACAAGAAATTTATTCAACAGTCATGTTATGTAAGTTTATATTATTATGCAATAATTAAAAAATAATTACTCGTTTTTTTTTGTTTTAACATCGTAAATTGAATATAATAAAATTTTGAAAAATTTGCTATGCAGTAACTGTACAGTAATTGCAGTAAAATGAATAGTTCCGAATAAAATGTGTTGAGTCGTGCGAATGAAAATCATATGTGATATTTTTTATCTCATTTATATAAAATTTATTACAAATACTTTAAATAATAATTATTATCTTTATTCAGATATTTATTTGTAAAAGTAAAGTCTTATTGTATATACTTACTATACCAATGTTACAAGATTCTCTAAAAACTCTTAAATAAACAAGCAACATATATTTATACTAAAATTAAAACACGTAATAAAATATAATATTTATAATTGCAATATTCTTTGTATCTGTATCGATGGTCGTGCCTAATGCGATTTATAAATATTGGCATAAGTGATACTAATGGAAACTAATAATCAATATCTGTGCGATAAATGAAATATGATTTACATGTAATCGTTGACATTTGCATTTTAGTCATTCTGATTTGGAGGCCGACGATGAAGAATTTGATTCTCTCAATCAGTCCGACAGCATTAATCAATCGGACCATGGCAATCATGAACCACAAACGTCTGTCAATACGACTGTAAGACCGCGCTTACCAACGCCAACAGGCGACAATCCGCACGAAGTGAGTCATTAATAACCTAAGACAAAATATGCGTAATTGCGTCAAGATGGTAATATATTTCTATCATGAATCGCGTGCACTAAGTTAATTTTTTACGAAAGAAACACATTTCGAAATTTTGTTACTCTGAATCTACTTTCTATTATATTGATTGTAATCGTATAGCTTGGCAATACGATAATCAAATACGATTTATAGTTAATTGAACGAGCGCAAGAGGAAAATAGAAGGCTGCTATCCCTTCTGGAAGATCGGGACCATAAAATAATGGCGCTCGAGGCTCGTCTTTTAAAGCAACAGCATGAAATGACCCTGGAACGAGATCGACTTCGCGAGGAGAATGCTACGCTGATTCGCGCAATGGCAGCGTTAGCCAGCAACTAAACTTCTTCGTGTAATAAAGATCACGCCTTTTTGGCTCTTTGCTCTTTATGATAATCGCCGAGCTGCAGGATGAGCCATAAGTCGCGCACCTTGCTGATCCCTTAATTATTATTCTTAGTATTCTTTTTTATTTGCAAAAACGATTTTCTTGTCCTACAGAAATTTAATTTTTGCATCATATTCTAATTTTTTGATTGTTAGGAGAGTTGCAGCAGCCATCGGCTGAATGACTGAAAATCCGGTATTATGTTAACTATTTTAATCATTGTTGATATTGTGATATATATGTATATTTGTGTAATATAAAATGCAAAATAATTGAAGAATGCTTTCTCTATGAAATTGAATGTTAAATTAATAGAATCTATTCGTTACATTTGGATTTTTGGAAAATTATCAAATTTATTAAAATAAAAATTGTATGCATTAAATAATCGTTTTTGTGATATATTGTATGCTTTCTTTTATTTGATATGATATAAAATAATTTAAAGAGTTTGTTCTTCCTCTATTGAATTTTTTTTAAAGTTTGTTTCATGTACGAATGAGGTTTATATTTTCAATTTTTATAAAAAGTAAAGTCTAAAAGAGAAAGAAAATGTATAGGAACATTTTTTGTCTTCTTTTTCCTCTTATTGGTTGGCTATATATATAAGATAACTGAGAGTCACACATTATGTTGAGTCCTATTTTTTTGTAATGAAAGGCTGAGAATTTAAAATATGTAAATGCAAATTATCTTGTAATAAAAGTTAAAAAAAACTTAAATTGATAGTGATGATAGATAAAGTTTAGATATTTAGTTTAATAAAACTAAAAGAATATGTTTGCACTGCATGGTAATTGATTTTTCTCTCTGATGCATGATTTATGGATCATCCTAGGCAATAAGAAAGATATACCTAAGTAGAATAAACCTAACTTTAGCGTATCACAAATTGAGTCATTATAAATAAACAGATAATTCTCTAATCACAGTGTTAGCTGCGGAAAGTATAAATATATATATCTTTGCAAGCTGCAATGCAAGTTACATTTTGTAAAAAGCAATAGCAATCCTCTTGTAAAGATATTGTGACGATTAAATCACTTGCAGAACTTCAATCGCAGACACAGATCATACATTTATTATTGATATATTTGCTATCCTTATTGCCGATTAATTGCCATTTTTTGTTTCGATATATTTTCAATCAAGCTAAAGCTAGATAAACACAATAGATATATATGAAAGTGCCGATTATGACACATAAACAACTTAATCCGTTTTCTATTGTAATAATTAAGAATGAACGTTCTATGTAAATTTTATACTTGCAACACATGATAATGTAAGATTATGAATTATTTTATTATTTTATTACTATTAATATTATTATTATATCATGAGCCGCGTACAAAGTTCTATGTACATATAGACACGCAGATAATTCTATAGCGATGCATTTGATTAGAAGAAACTTTCCGCGACTTGTGTGTAATACGCGGGACAATGTAACGAAAATATGTAAAATTGTTTAAAGAAAAACTTTTATTGCCAGCCATTCAATGATTTATCATACTTCAGTCCTCGTTCCTTCCGACGTATTAAAGATAAGTAAAGGCTCATTTAAAACAGAGGAAAGTTTCTTGCATTTGTTTTTCTGTACACTCATTGATGTAATCATTCTGCATGAATAATTTCTTTTCAACTAATTTCCATATTTAAAGTTGTGTGGTTTAAAGTGAGATAAGATAGAAACTCGCCCAATCAGTGACGTACGCGGAAATGTGGCATTGAAACAGTCCCCAATGTGAACCGGCAAAAAGAGTTTGCATTTTTTATTCATAAAATAACTAAATAAATTTTTAATATAATACAATACTTGCACGCACATACGCAATATAGTTACATCTTTACGCTAATGTTTCCTAATCACTACGTAGCTGTACATTACAAATCGTTGGGATCCGATCATACACATTTGGGGTCTCCCATTTTCAAATCCATCCCCATTTTCTTATATGTTCGCCCTTTGCTTTTATCCTTTCGAAATGTACGCTTTAAATTCTTTTATATATCTCGTTATCGCAACTTATTCCACTAAAAGACCCCGGAAATAGTTCGACCCGTAAAGCTTTACGACGTGTAATTTTCCAAAACGTATAAAACTTTGTTAAAATACTTTATGTCGCACTTAAAGAGAAATATCGATTGGTTCGCAAGAAGATACTTCCAAAAGGCGCAAACATCTCGAAAGGGCAAGCGGTCCTTCGCACGCATCCTTTATTAACAATAAAAAGATACGACGACGTGCAATAAATATTACCAGTTTGATTGTATTTATACGACAAACGTATCTATTTAACTGCGAAAGAATATTTTTCAGGACTGATACTAAATTTCTAAAATAATTTTTAAAGCCTTTTAAGAAGATATTTTTTTAATTAACAGTTATTGCAAAAATGATTGAATTTCAAAGACTAAATAAAATTCAAGTAAAATTTATGAATAAATTAGATATGCAATAAAAAATAAATGTAAATGAAACCGGAAATTAAATCAGATTGAAAAAAATTTTTTAAAAAAGCTTTGTCGACAAATAGAAAGATCGACAAAATAAGCGAAAGTATTAACAAGTGTATTTTTTATTGAAAATCTGATTTATTCTCCCATTCTGTCCATTCGCTACAAAGAGCTTCAAGGGAGAAACAAATCATGTTTCGAAGACTCAAACGTTTGATTAATTAATTGTTTTGATTACGCTGCCAGTTGGTTAATAAAAAACTCCGTGATTTATCGCAAATCGTCGTACTGATTATTGCCAGTGTTTCGATAAAACACATGCACACTTTATGATGCAACAGGTACTACGCTTCTATTATATCAACCATCTCTTCTTCGCATCGCTGGCAAGGTAACTAATTGTTTATATCGTTTAATTGTCTACACCATGCGCCTCTACGACTATTTTTTTTTTCAGTTCTCTGTCGTTCATCGCAAGGCAACGCTTCGCTGATATGTACCGTTTGTTTCAAGATTGAATTAATTAACCGAATTCGTCGTTTCGTAGACAAAATCCTAAGGAACTTGGTTCTCTCTTTCCATCGTCATTCGCAACTCTCCTCCCGCGATTCGCGATATTAGCTTCATCACGAAGTTATTGTCGGCTGTAATTAAGTCATTAACAAGGCGCCATCCACGACCACGTGATATTTCATTGATCGAACCGCGAGATCATTGTTTGCATGACAATAATTCTCATCTACCATGGCAAACTGAGCTGTAAAATTGACGCACCTTCACTTTGGAGCATTTGCTTGCATCGTGTTTGGTCGTATATTTAAGAGCAATTTGTCTGGACAAATGTGTATGGAGCGCTCATGTACAAAACAACAGAAACTAATCCTTCAATTCCTATCTTTGCAAAAAGAATTCCTTGTATCTTACCGTCTAATAATTACATATACGCGCATTTTGCGCAATTTACTCTTGCGCAGATTACTCTTCCGGTTATCGTAAACTACAAGAGCATCTTGACGCTTCACGTGCTCATCTCATTCGCATCATCGTCTCATACGTATCATCATCCCAACAAACGACTAGATCACGATGGTTGGACCTCAATCAGATCCTTAAATGCTAAGGGAGCTTAACGAACTAAGCTATTCTCAGTGAACGATATATTATTATTTATTATTTCTTCTTTATCAAATATCAATCGCGCCGCAAATCGAAAATGCAGACGCGGACAAACGAACTCCTTCGCTCTCGATTTATAGTCTCGATTGATACGTTTTATTATACCTATTATTCTTCTCTCCTACATCTTAGCGTTTTCTCTCTCTCTCTCTCTCTCTCTCTCTCTCTCTCTCGCTCTCTCTCTCTCTCTCTCTCTCTCTCTCTCTCTCTCTCTCTCTCTTACCATCGTTTTTTAATTTCGGCGTGTATAATCATTAACGTTTCGATTTTATTTAATAAACAGTTCCTTTCTTCCATAGAGGACTCATCATTATAAATTAACATTCCATTTTACGTGATGCTAATGTACAGGGTGCCTCGAGAGAAGAAATACACAGCTCGAAAGTATTTGCCTACCATATTTACAACCTTTTATATTCTAAATATAAAGACTTATTTTATTTTAGAATAAAAATATGATCATACTTTATTTTAGAATAAAATAGATAATAAAGCATCGATTACATTACTGTTAAATAAAAAGATTTTTAAAATAAAAATCTTCATCTTTATATCTTAGAGAAAATATTCATACAGTATGGAAAAATTGATGAAATATTTCTTTGATAGATTACAATGTTGCTGTTTTGTTGGGATTTTTAATTCCATATCTGCAATATTTCTATAATATTGCATAGTGATACTGTAATTAACAAGTTTAGTAAATAGACAAATACTTATGAGCAATGTTGTATTAGTAGCAGAATTGCGCGTACTCGGAAAAAAATTCTGCCTTTGTCGTCGTAAATCGTATACGTTTCATATTTTATTAAATAACATATTCCAGTCTAAATAAAAATTTTTGAAAATAATACAAAATAATCCTTTATTTGTCTACACAAAATAAAATGCCAGCTGAAAACACAGCTATAATATTATAAAAATATATTTCTCTTGGAATATTGTTTTTGCATCGGAATAGGTCTCTAAACTAAATTCTTTCGAACGTGTATCTATCACATTTAACGTTTATCGATTCCACATTCACCGATCCGGTTGAAAATTAATTGAAGTGTTACCGTTCTCATTAACATGACTTAACAGAAAATACATTATACCGGAAGTAGAATTACCTGAGATGAGACTCTATTATATATAATGCAAAAGCATTATTGTTAGTCAGGAGACTAGAATCTCGTAATATTATCCTCGTGACACCCCATACATGTCGACGATTTTATCTTCTCCATACGGAAAATAATTCTTCTACTAAAAATTCATGCCAGATTTGCAGGAGTCAATTGAGAGGAAAGCGCGCGTTTTACTAGTTGATCATTGAAAAAGTATTATGCCTAGGAAGTAGGAAGATTAAAGAACTTTGATTTTTTTCCTAATTTTGATTCATTTGCCTTTTGTGCGAGCTACGCTGGCTTAATCTGTCTCTTCATATTAATATACAAAGATTATCTTCGAAGTTTAAACATTTCGTAAGAGAGCAGTACTATTATTCATGAATAATTATATACGTTTAATATTTTTCTAATAGAAACTTAAAAATTTCTAATGATCAACATCGGAAACGAATTT